CAATCCCACCGTACTACCCAATACCCATGCACGGTGATTTATTTGATCTACTTGTGCTATTATATTACAATAATGCACCGCCGCCATTATTTGGGTTTAAAGTAAACTAATTTAATTAGCTTTCCCTAAATAAAATAAAATTATGGTATACGAAAACAGCTCTCCGTTGCTTTTGTTTCAAAGATGAGGATTCTTGCTAACTTTAATTAATTAAATTCTCCACTCCAAAACAAGGCTAACTAACTAGTGGACACAGTTGCTCCTTCAAGGGTTTGCTGGTGCAAAACACATACAACACGCACTTTCCAAAGCTCAAAGATCAGTGACCACTAACCAGACACTGCATCACACACCGTGGAGGAATTAGTGGTCAGTTCTCCCCCCTTCCCTTTCTTTAATCCATCTCCAAAGGGGCGGTGATCATCACCAAAACCAGTCCACCCAACAGCAAGATCTTTCCCCCCTTATTCCCTGCCCCTGAAGATGCTAATAATTCCCTGACACGTAGTACATGCCCCTATCATCCATGACTGACTCCAAGCGCCTGTCGCCTAAAGCCCCATGGCATTGGCATCCATCACCTCAAAGCCAGCACTTGATCTGTCCTCTTAGACTAGCTACTACTATAGCGTCTGATGATTGGATTAAATAGAACAAAGCTTAGCTTACCCGGCGAATGCATGCATGATTTGGTCTCTCTCAGTCTCAGGATCCACGGGAAAGCGAGCGGGGCTCTGATCTAGCTCTGACAAATGCTAAATTTATTTAAAGGGCATGCTGCATGCATGGAATCATCGGCCAGTGGAAGGGCCATTCATCACACATTCATGTATGATTTAATTATGTCCTATCATATTAGTTAATCAAATGGTTATACACTACTACTGCCATAAACAATTTTATTGGGATGTCAAGATTTGTTTGTCTATTCCTCTTCTCCTGTCTTAGCAGGGCGGCTGTGGTTTGGTCAGGTTTCGGCATCAGATGGATGGAATCAGAGATAGACCCCTTGCAAGGGAATAGAAAAGCCTCCACTTGGAACGGTCACTATGCAGGCACTAGCTCGATCAGATCTCTGTGTTAATCTTGGTTCCAGTTGTTAAGTTTGGGATCTGATTTAGCTGTTATTTACTCGCTCATCGGTGGATGCATTATCTTGAGAAAGAAAATGTGTTTTGGAGTGGCAATGTTTGGCCACAGGCATATGCAATGCAAGCTGGCTTTATTTTGGAGAAGTGGCAGAAACATCAATCATGTGCTGGTAGCAGAAATTGTAGTGATTTAATTACTACTGCTCTAAGTACATCACAGTACTGCTCTGCTCTCGGCTAAGTACTAAAAAAAGGTGCTCTCGTGACGAAGAGGAGGCAACTCAAAATTTCCATGGAGGCAGTCTTCATTTTTCTTATGTTTTTTTTTCTACATATTTACTTATCTGGAGTTTTATTTATATATTGATACACAGACGTATATCGTGAGTTGAAATAGACTAATGCGTTGCTATATGTATCTTTTCTTCACTGCAAAGTAAGGTTTTTTTTTAAATGATGAGACATACACATTTTGACAAATTTGGCCAAGTGGTTTGAACATCAGTATCATCATGGAGAGGGAGTGAGAGGAACAAAGGTAAACACATCACGACTTGTCATCTAGGTTATCTTGCTTTGATGGGGATCTATTCCTACAACTTGTATTTGACATGCGTTTGGATTGTAACTATAAGAAGTCGTACATGGATCGAATGACCCCCTTCATGAACAGTGACTTCTCTCCTACTCTCACTAAAACGAAAGACAACCGGCTTAACAGCTTTTGTAGCAAGTACTTATACTTATCCACAACTATAATTCGTTAAACAATTTCTAAGAATGGCTAACACATTTTTCAACACATAAATGTTGAGTACGATTTACACACGATCCCTGATGGTGTCTAGGATTTCAGCAATAAATCATTGTGTCACTATCTACAGTGTTCCTAAAAGATAGCTACAACTAATTAACATCAATTTATGGTATTTTCCTATGAACTTTTTTATTATGGTTGGGGAGGCGTCAGAAAGCGTTAGCTGTGTCAATGATTGATGGGCCCATATGAGGGAAGGCGCTGAGAGGCGTCAATGAGGGAGGCGTCGGGAGGCATTGGATGTGTCTATGGTCGGTGGGCCCATATGCGCCATAACGCCTCCAAAGTTGAGAGGATTAAGACTTCAAATAAAAGAGTGACAATTTCTTTTTCATAGTTATTTATTTTAATCAAGGATAAAACGGTAAATCCATAATTATAAAAATAATGTTTTGAGTCGATGAATGGGTGCTGCCGCCGGAGGCCAGACATGAGTTATGCCGAATGTCGATGGTGTAGCGTTGGTGCTTCTCGTCCTCGCTCGGGCTGAAAACGCTAGCACGCAGCAGCGTCACGCCCCAGCGCGTCGCCATGTCGCCACACTGTGGCCATCGTCGACTTGTACGCGCCGAGGATGCTCCGTTGCAGGGGATCTACGTGGGATGTGGCCGTCCGCCGGCACCCATTAGATATGGCTTCGATTTCCACTGTGTACAGACGAAAGGCATGTGAAGCTTAATCAATAGGGAGCCTGGAGAAATATATGGTTGCTGCTAGTTTGATCTCCATTGGTTGCACAGGAACAGGACGAACATAGGAGTAGATTCATTTAAGAAAGCAAAGGTTGAGGGGGAGGGCAGGCCGGCGCCATGCGAGGTTGAGGGAGAGAGCAACCACCGGCGCGACACCGTACGAGGGCGGCGGCACCGGCTAGAGCGAGGGAGAGAGTAGGACGGTGGTGGCGGCCTAGGGTGAGTGAGAGAGCGAGGTGCATGCGGTTTGGGGGGAAGGGGATTCGCAATGACCATATTGCCCTTGATGAATAAAAATCAACAAAAACAACTATTTTTGGTAGGCATCAGGAAGCATTTCCAACCATTGTAAAAGGACTCTTTTCCTATAAGGCCAATTTCAATGGGGTTTCATAAGAGTTTTATGGGCATTAATAGGCTGACATGACACCGTATTGACGACGAGAGAGATTATAAAAGTTTTGTGGGAGTAGCGAGAGTTTTCATGAAGATGAAACTATTATACACTATTTTCTAAAATATGGGTATATTAAAAGCTGGAACATGAACCCCCTAAGACTGGCATAAGAACCCGAGGAGGCAATTGGTTGGCGTTGAACCAAGATTTTTTTAAAAACAAAACTAATATGAATAAACAAAAACAAAGCCAGACTTCTAAGGTTTCTAATAAATGAGTTTTGTGTTTTTTATTTAATCACACTTGCTCACCATTCACTAACCAGCCATGCTAATGGAAATCCGCATCTCACACCCTGTATCTGACATAGACAAGTAAAAAATATGTTTTTTTCTTTGTTGGGGCCATATGTACATTTTTTATTTTAATTAAAATTTAAGAATTTCAATGGAAACTGTGCCAGCTTAAGGTCCTGGCCCCGTCCCTGTAGCTAACAAATCATTTCCAAGAAACCAAATGTCTTGTCAAACTTCCGGCCTGTTCGCTGGTTGGTTTCTGGGCTGGTTTGGACTGGCTGATGCTGATTTGTTATGAGAGAAAAACACTATTGTCTGACTGGTTTGGGCTGGCTGAAACCAACAAACGAACAGGCTGTTCACCAGAAACATGATGAGCAAAAACAAAAAAAAAGAGAGGAAGTTTGACCATTTTTTATGGGGAGCGTTATTAATGAAAAGAAAACACAAAAAATATAAAAAGGCATTTATTTCACTGCCCCCGGGCTCAGACCCTGAAATCTGATAAAATCCACTCTCAACTCCAACGTCCCCCACTCTCCATTATTCTTCCTTCCTTCTCTCCTCTCTCTCTCTCTCTCTCTCTCTCTCCCCCCCCCGCCCCACGCTCTCCCCTCTCCTCCCTCGTCGCCGGTGACCCCTGCGGAGCCGCGTGGATACCTCGCCGGGGAGATCTGTCTGCCGTTTCTACGGGCTGGTATAAAAGCTGGAGCCTGGTTACTAGCAGGCTGTGGCTGCATTCGGCCTCCCCCTCCTCCTCAGTCCTCCACGCAACTACAAGGCTCTGGCTCTGGCTCTGGCTCCCTACAAGGCTCTGGCTCTGAAGACTTCTGAAGACTAAGCCAAGCTCCCTGCGCTGCTACGCAACGCGGCCGACCCTTCCTTCCGCCGATACTCCCCGTGCTGGATCCTCTGTCTAGTGCTGCGGCTGCCAGCGCTTCTCATCCTCACTCTAGCGGAGTGGAGATCCGTCCGGGCGTGGATTGATTTCTTCTTTTCTGGGTGAGTGATCCTAGCTTGTTTGAGTGGATGCTGGGAGAGGTCGTTTTCTTGGAACTCCATCCTTTGCTGTGGCCATGAGCAATCAAATCGAGCATTAAGTTCTGGATTTGTGTTTTCCGTCGCGCTAGCTCCGACTAATCCCGTTCATCCATCTGTGGCTCAGCTAGGTTCTTCAGCGCACAAGATCGTTCTCTCCCTACCCCCACCCAAAAATAAATATCGCTTCATCAAAAGTCCCATGGCCCACGCTAAGTCCATCCCTGAACCTGCCGACATCATGTTTTTCTTCTTCTTCTTCTTTTATTTTTGGGCACAAGAATGGTTAAATGCTGCTCACTGGGTACATTGGCGCCTTAGATTTGTTCAAAATGTGTGATTTTGGAGAAGAAGAAAAATTATTGGTCTCCAAGGGGCTGAAAATCTCAAAATTTGCAGAGGGAGCGTCCTTTTCAGTGGGTTGTTTATGGGAGCCAAAGTTTATTCTTCGTGAACAGTATATTGCGGGCTTGCCAGTAGATTTTAACTCTTCCATTTCTGCTAGTAATAGCTGGACATTTGATTTGTCCCATTCTACAATGTCCAGCCCTGTTCTTTCCTTTTAGCCTAAGAAAAGGCCTTGAGAAATATTCAGAGTGAAATGCTAATGTTATATGTTTTTCTTGTGATTCTTGCAGTCAGATGTTGGAGCTCAGGTAGTAGCCAACGATGGAAGCAATGGAGGCCGAAGAAGGTCTTTTTCTGGCTAATGATGCCAAGGTATCATCTTTACAGTGAATATGTCTGGTATTCCTGTTAATCTGTTGTTTGCTTACCTTTTGTAAGTACATCTTAAAAGCCTGTTATGTTTGTTGATCAATGAGAGCTACCTTTTCTTTTCCATATTGTTTAGGTAATATTTGTTTCAATGGTTAGTACTATCACAATGCTTTGATTTCTAAAGGTTCCTTTTTCTTTAAAGACTAGTTTGTACTGTATTGAGCAAACACTATACTTGTACTGTACTAAGTTACTGGGACCTTATAGCTTTCCGTTTTGGGGTTTGCTTAATTTAGCAGCGAATCTGAAGAAATATTGGTTTTATTCAGTTGCATGCAGGAATTTGTAGAGCATTTCATCCTTCTGTATCTAAGCTCTCCGCCATTTTCCCCTTTATCGAAGCATCAAGACCCAGAAGCAAGTCTGGTATACAGGCATTGTGTTCACTACATGTAGCTCTTGATAAAGCCAAAGGGCTTCTTCAACATTGTGCAGACTGCAGCAGACTCTACTTGGTAACTTCTTATTCCCCTTTCCCTACTACTACCGCAACACACTTATTTCATTTGTAGGGCATTTCTTCTGGAATTTTTTGCAATCGGAACAGTTTTTGAATAGATATTATATTTCACTTCTAGGCCATCACTTCAGAAACTGTGCTTTTAAAGTTTGAGAAGTCTAGAAACCAGCTTCAGGAGAGTCTAAGGCGCACTGAAAGCATAGTAACGGAAGATATCGGCTGTAAGGTATATTATGCACAAAAGTCATCTAGTCAATATCTTTGGTTCACCAATCTTTGACGTTGGCTTTATGGTTTTGCGATTATTACAGTGTGTAGTACGTACTGACACCCTGAACATGTTTCTGTACAGATTGTGGAGATTGTTGGTGAGCTGGAGGAAATTGTTTTTACATTGGATAGATCAGAGAAGGAAGCTGGTGATGAGCTGATCAATTTGCTCCAGAGAAACAATAAAACAAATGGTTCCAGTGATAGTGGGGAGCTTGAGGTCTTCCATTTGTCTGCTCTTAAATTGGGAATTACATCTTCTAGGGCAGCACTCACCGAGAGAAGAGCCCTGAAGAAGCTAATTGAGAAGGCTCGTTCTGATGAAGACAAGCGGAAGGAGCTTGTTGTGTCATACTTGTACAATCTTATGAGAAAGTACTCAAAGTTCTTCAGAAGTGAGGCTGGTGATGATACAGATTCTCAGGGATCGTCTCCATGCTCACCAACAGTATTAGGCATGGATGATATGTATGGGCCGTACAGCAATGGTCGGGCATTCAGTAGACAGCTCTCGAGCATTCAGTCGTTGAATTCGAGGTTTGGATCTTTCAATTCTAGGCTTGGATCATTCAACTGCAGACGTGGTGGTGGTCCAAGGTCTGAGAATATGTCAATCCCTCCTGAAGAGCTTAGGTGCCCTATTTCCTTACAGCTCATGTATGATCCAGTCATCATTTCATCTGGGCAGACTTACGAGCGTATTTGCATTGAGAAATGGTTCAATGATGGTCACAGCACATGTCCTAAAACACAGCAGCAACTTGCCCACCTGTCATTGACTCCAAACTACTGTGTTAAGACCCTGATTGCCAGCTGGTGTGAGCAGAACGATTTTCCAGTTCCTGATGGTCCACCAGGAACTTTTGATGTAAATTGGAGGCTTGCTTTCTCTGACACTGAGGGTACAGGTTGTGTGTCTGTTGAAAGTTTTGATTGTAATAATGCAAAGAGTGTCAAGATTGTCCCAATGGAGAATGTTAGAAAGGAGGAGCCAGCAAACAGTGAATCGGGAACATTGGATGACAGCTCTTGTAACAATTTCGATTTGAACGAGGGCTATGGGAACTTGCTGCTCTTGCTTCATGAAAGAAGTAACATGAACAAGCAGTGCAGGTTGGTGGAGCAGATAAGGTACCTTTTGAAAGATGACGAGGAAGCAAGGATCCTGCTGGGCTCAAATGGCTTTGCCGAGGCACTGGTTGAGTTCTTGAGGAATGCTGTGAATGATGGAAATGAGAAGGCACAAGAAGTTGGTGCAATGGCTCTTTTCAATCTTGCAGTCAACAATAACAGGTATTATTTCCTAGTGGTGTGGTGCTAACTGAAAATACTTATTATTGCTTAAACTTAGTGAAGTATTTTTGCCTAGAAATTTTGCTTATTAAAACCCTTTCTTATTTCAGAAACAAGGGACTCCTGTTATCTGCTGGAGTCGCCGATCTACTTGAGCAGATGATATCGAATCCACGCCTATCTGGTCCTGCCACAGCACTCTACCTTAATCTTTCCTGCCTTCCTGATGCAAAGGCCGTCATCGGTTCGAGCCAGGCGGTGCCATTCCTAGTCGACCGTCTGTATAGCCAAGATGCCAGCAACACGAAAGACAGCTCCTGCAAGCATGACGCCTTGTACACACTGTACAACCTCTCGAACCACCAGGCCAGTGTCCCGGCGCTTCTAACCGCAGGCATTGTGGATGCTCTCCACTGCCTCGTCACAGACTCTCCAGAGTCGGAGGGGCTTGGTTGGACAGAGAAGGCTTTCGCGGTGCTCATCAGCCTCGCAGCCACCCAAGCTGGCAGGAAGGAGATCATGTCCACCCCCGGTTTGGTCAGCACGCTAGCGACGCTGCTGGACACAGGCGAGCCGACGGAGCAGGAGCAGGCGGTGTCATGCCTCCTGGTGATGTGCAGCGCCGACGACAAGTGCATCGTGCCGGTGCTCCAGGAAGGGGTGGTCCCGTCCCTGGTCTCCATCTCGGCGGCCGGGACGGGGAGGGGCAGGGAGAAGGCCCAGAAGCTCCTGAAGTTGTTCAGGGAGCAGAGGCAGCGGAACGCGCCGCCGCCCCAGCAGCAGCAGCAGCAGCAGCAGCTTCTGCAGAGCCAGCTGGCGGAGGGCGGGAACGGCGGCGGCGGCGCTATCGTGTGCCTCCGGGAATCGAAGCCGCTGTGCAAGTCCAAGTCCAGGAAGCTGGGCAGGACGCTGAGCTCGCTGTGGAAGAACAGGGGCTTCTCGCTGTACCAGTGCTAGGATGTATGCTAGAGTAGTGTTTTGAGTTGATCAGTGGGGTATGTACATCATCTTCTGCCTTGTTTTTCCACCTGGTCTTTTTCTTCTCTTCTCTCGGGTATTGTTCTGTTTGGGGTAAAAAAGAGAGTAAACCTTTGATGTTCTTCCCCCCCTCCTCGGTGGGGTGATGTAGGGCATTTTCCAGTTTGACCTTGTCAAGAGATGTGTACAGTTGTTTCTTCCTCAGTCTCTGATACTCTACCCCCTTTTCAGATCAGACGCTTCTCCCCCTTGAAAACCCAACACGACTTGCTTGCAAGCAACTGGTTGTTTGTCCAGCCTTAATGATGACTCTTTTGCACATTGCATTGTGAGGTGCAGACGCACAGCTCTTTGGCCTTGTTTAGTTGGCGATTTTATTTGGGATTGGTACTGTAGCACTTTCGTTGTTATTTGACAATTAGTGTCTAATCATAGTCTAATTAGGCTTAAAAGATTCATCTCGTAAATTTCGTCTAAACTGTGTAATTAGTTTTATTTTTTTATTTATATTTAATGCTTCATGCATGCGTCTAAAGATTCGATGTGACCAGAAATCTTGAAAAATTTTACAAAATTTTGTGAACTAAACGTACACTTTATCAGCAGCCTGACGCAAAAACCCAACCAGAGTTGAGAACAGGCTTGCCCCATGGCTGACTCTGACAGGTGATGCTCCAGAAAGCTGCTGGCTAGGCTAGCGCACTGCTGCGTGTGGCGACAATGTAGGGTTGGGTAAGATTGACAGCAAGTGAGGCGAGCAGAGCAGGAGAAGGACAATGACACCAAGGTCGCAGATGAAAGGAAAATAATGGCATCCGCACATCCTGCTGACAGGAACGAACCGAACGTACAGAGTTGAGAGCCACACGGAATCGACGCCATGCTCGGCCCTGTTAGCTTATGCTGCGCTTAAGCTGACGCTTATGTTGAAATATTATGAGAAGAAAACGCTATTTCATGGCTGAAAAGTTTCTCAAGCGAACAGGCCTAGTTGACGCCTCGTCCCCGACATCACAGGGGCCCCGGACCCCGAGTGGCTAGTAGGCTGGGCGGACGGCCGCCCCCCCGTTCCGTTCATGCAATCATCACCATTCACCACCAAGGTGTTGGATCCATCGCCTCCTTGCCTTTGCAGTTTGCGTAGCTCAGTCGATCAACTGCCCTCCTGCTGCTTTAATCTGCGTCCACCCACGACCACGAGGTTAATTTGAAAGCCACGGGTCAGCAATTATTTGTGGCGGGAAAGCAAGCAGAGAGCAGGGCAGCGCAGCGGCAACGGCTCCGATACGGCTCCACTCAACGGAGCGAGCGGTAGAAAAATTTCGGAAGAGCAAAAGAGGCCCCCGCGGAAAAAGGCGTGCGCTGCGCACACCACGGCCGCGAGAGAATCCAATTCCAATTCCAGCCCCACGTCCCCCCTCTGCCCGCTTTGTTTTACATTCCATTCCATCCCGTCCCATTTGCAGCTCCTTCCGTGCTCGCTGCGTCCTCCTGCTTCCACCCTTCCGTGCCCGGCACCGGCAGCCGGCAGGGGCAGGAGGAGAGGATCGCCACCGCTGCCCCGGCCCCGGCGGATGTCGGATCGGGAGCTCCGCCCTCTGCGTTCCATCAGTATGTTCCAAACGCCGTCCCCGTTCCTTCGTGAATGCTTGATTACCCCTCCTCCCCTGCGTGTTTCTTTCGAGCGCTAAGAATAGGCTTCTTTTTTTCTTTCGGTGGCGATCGGTGATCGAAAGCGGGCTAATGATTCCTTCCTCCTTCTGGTGCGGTTCCTGGCTTGTTTATGGTTCAGAGATCGTTGGTTTGGACGCGATCGGGAATAAAGTGGCTGCATCATTGCTGATTATACAAAAGACACCCTAACAATGATAAGCTACCAATGGTGTAGCAGCAAGATGCCTTTTCTATCTCTACATATATTCCCTTTTCCACCAATCCTTTTGCTTGTGTATGTGTGTATAACGGTATACTATGGTAGCAGTTCTAAAGCTGCATCTTCAGAGATCGAAGTGGGTCCTTCCTTTGCTAAAATCAGAGATCAGAAACCAGATCGACAAAACAAATAATCTCCTCCTGACAATCCACGCTACTAATCTTAAGTCTAAAGTAATACTGCTTGTTTTCTTTATGTGCGGGCAATCCCCCATGGAGCTTTCAATCGTCAAGATGTTCTGGTTTACAGAACATACCTTATGAATTGCACTGACGCTGCCCTCACGTTTGATTACAGGAATCACAGGGGACGGTCGATGCCTGTTCAGGTCCGTCGCTTATGGCGCCTGCTTGAGGAGAGGAAAGCATCCTCCGAGCGACAGCGCCCAGAAGGAACTGGCTGACGAACTTCGAGCCAAAGTGAGTGTCCATCACCTGGGCTTCTGATTATTATAAGTGCATCCTTGTTCGATGCATTTCGAAAGAATTCTGAAATGTTGCGCGCTGCGGTCTTCTTGTATTTCCACGTCTTTATTATTGTTAACCTGCTATTGTGTCTGTTCCAGGTAGCTGACGAGTTTGTCAAGAGAAGAGGAGACACTGAATGGTTTCATCTTCTTTCCATTATTACTTTACTGATATATTGCCTGGACAATTTTTCGGTTTTTCCCCACTAGGAGTAAACAGGAAAAGAATATGTTCAAAATAATATATTCTCATACGGCAACTTTACACCTTTGTTGATAAAAGTCTTTCAAAATACTGTCATCCTTAAAATTCTATGTCAAAAGAATACGCTTTAGCTTCAAATATACAAAGACGACTATGTCACATTAACTCTTTTTCAATGATATAGGTTCCTTGAAGGCAACTTTGAGAATTATGTGAGACAGATGAGAAAGCCTCATGCTTGGGGAGGAGAACCTGAGCTGTTCATGTGTTCCCATGTTCTCAGGTTGGCGGCCAACTTATCTGTGCTAAGTGCAGCCTTTTGTTCATTATGGTCAGTGAGAACTGAGAAATGCTGCATTGCAGGATGCCCATCACCGTCTACATGTATACAAGCAGCTCTGATGGCCCTAGGATCATAGCAGAATATGGCCAGGAATATGGAAAGGACGATCCAGTCCGCGTTCTCTATGATGGTTATGGACACTACGACGCACTTCAGCCATCTGTTGTAAGAACACAATCAAGACTGTAAGTACAGCACTGTACAAAATCCGACAATAGGCAAACTTTGCACTGCTAAACTACATTGTGGCTTCAGTATTTTATTCTAATCTCGGAACCAATAACACCCCCCCCCTAAAATTGCAGGCGAGGTGTGTAGATAACAGGGGACTGCGGCTGCGTAACTGTGAGCAGCTCAAGATTTAACGATGCTATTTTGCTCCAACTCGACACAACCATAGAGCAAATATGAAATTATACCTGGCTTGACTGTACCGACCTGTTCTGTTCTTCAACGTTTGATGTATAAATAAATAAAACTCGAGAACGAGTCAGAAAATCAGTTGAGCTACCTGGTACCATGCTTAGCATCAAGTGTGTTGAGTTGTGATCCAAATTCAGTTATGTACAAGATAAAGCCCCCCCGCGGTATCGATCGTCGTCTATTAGGGTTTTTCATCTCTATATATACCTCATGTAAGCCGTCGTCTTGGGATAAAAAAAGTTGTAAATCCCCGACGTTTGTAACCTCACCCGATATAGTGAAGATTTGCTGGCTGATGTCCGTGGTTTTTTCCTTCTTCCTTGGAAATGTTTTCCACATTAAAATCTTGTGTCCCCTGTGTTTGATCTACTGTTCTTCGTCGTTTATATTGCCTATCATTTCTAACAAAGTGATCATGTAAAGTTTCTTGAATCATTTTACACAACAGAATGGCTCTAGAGAGTTGGTATATGAGTGCGAGCAGAATATTCTTTTGTTCAATTTGACACAAAGGTTCTCTAGGAAGACTGCATAAAAAGCTGAATGCTGAAGTTGTCATATTAAAATTCTCTTGGACTTTGTATAGGATGGCATGAATGTTCAGTGCTCATTTATACTGGTTCTGAGTTACGGTCGTGTCGAAATCTAGTAATCTGCAAAAAATGAGGTCGGTGAAACATGAGCACACATGATATTCCTACAATAATTTTATCAGCGACAATCCCAATTGCGTTGAAAGGGAGGACTTTTTACACAGAAGCCACCGCGTCGCAGTAATTAAATTACGATGGCCTACTTGTCATCTCCTAGTCTTGAAGCCGTTGACAATAAGTCACTAATCCATGGTACAACCAAGAAAGAGGAAGCTGAGTCATGGAAGCTGCTCGACATGTCACGCAGTTCTGGAGCCTGATCTTCTGAAGCAACAACTCTGGTTTGACAATCGCATTGTTTGTTACGACATAAACCCCTCCTCCGTCGATCTGCTTCTCCAGCATCAGCAGCTCTTGTTGCCTAGGCAACAACAGTTTGCTTGGTCGTGTTTTAGCTTCTGCAAGGATCCATTTTTAGCATAGTAAGAGATACTGTATATTTTTATTTGTAGGTATGTCACCAATATGAATTTGGTTTGAAAACAAGTGGAATAGTAGCTGACTACAGCTACACGTGTCAAAATAAAATGGGGGCCGGCTGGCTGTGTGTTCATTTATCTAGCGAAGGACTTGTGAAATGTGCAGCGTGTTGCACATCAAGCGATGCGTACCTCAACTTGGTCCTTGAGCTCTTTGATGTAATCTACAGCAAGATCCAACATGTCCGACGTATTTGTTTGCTGCATATTCAGGAGAAACACTAATAAACACACTGATGAAATGGAAAGCCACAAACAACGAGAACCGCTAGATTCAGCTGTTCAGCGAGTCTTGGGTTTCAGCAATTCCGCACGAAAAGTCTACGGATGATGATGGCTATGGCTTATTGCATTTTTCAAGCTTAATTTACCTGGTCCATGTTGGGCACAAGATCTTGCAGCTTCTTCAGTCTCTTGCTAATCCTTGTTCTTCTTTCCTGAACGTCGATCAACAAGGAGAACAAAATTGATTTCTGT